TAAAGACGAGATTTCACCATGTTGGTCAGGCTGGTCTTGAACTCCTGACCTCAGGTGATCCGCCTGCCTTGGCCTCCAAAGTGCTTGGATTACAGGTGTGAGCTACCATGCCCGGCCCATGTTTTGTACTTTTTGTAGAAACAGTGTCTCACTATGTTACCCAAGCTAGTCTCCTAGGCTGGGCAACATAGTGAGACCCTGGGCTCGAGTGATCCACTCAGCCTCCCATAGGATGATTGCCGTGAGCCACCGTGCCCAGCACAACTGTTGTTTGTTGAGTGTGTGCTGGGTGCCAGGTACTTGTGTTAAACACTCGATGTGTACTGCCTCTGAATCCTCAAGCGAAATTATCTTCATTTCACAGATGAGGAAACTGAGGCCTAGAGAGATGAAAACACACAAGGGTCCAGCACATGGTGGGGCCCCAGTTAATACTTGTAGCATGATTAGATTCCAGTTATCTGGTTATGCCTCCATATTGGATACACTGGACCACCATATACTGTATGAAGTATATAATTGTGGATGTCATAGGAGTGTATAATTTAGGGGCAAATAAATGTATCTTTTGGCCACAGGCTACTAGCTCCTGAGAAGCCACATCCTGACTAATTCAGCAGAAGCCACATCATTCAGAGATAATGGGATGGAGACAGAGGTGCCTCCTGTGGGTTGGGTGAGTCTGTTTTTCTGTATTAATACTGGGTAGCTGAGGTAGCAGTTTGGGAATTTTAAGCAAAGAAGAAGGATGTACATATCTGTGTGATTCTGTGAGAATGGCGGCCCCTGGAGCTGTGTGGCACATTCATGTCTTCCCAGGAAAATTTTCCTTCCATCAGCCATCCCACTGCCTTTAGGAAACTCCTTCCTGACTCCACTAGGGAATGGGGAAGCAATCAATCATGTTGCCTTATACTGCACACTCCCCATCTACCCGCCCAAGTCAGCCAATCAGAGACCTGTATTCCACACCCCTACCATCAACAATGCCCCTTCCTCATTGGTTCAGGGATGAACAAGAAATCACAATACACCAATCAGAGCACTCCCTGAAATTCCTCTGTTTCTGCTAGTGTAGAGAATACAGTTACCTCTAAAGTTTAAGAAAAAGTCTCCACATCAAGGGTCTTTAGATCTATGTTATCCTTGGGCCAGGTGCAGTGGCTTCCACCTATAATCCCAACACTTTGGGAGGCCAAGGCAGGTGGATCACTTGAGGTCAGGAGTTCGAGACCCACCTGGGGAAACCCTGTCTCTACTAAAAATACAACAACAATAAAAAACAATTAGCTGGGTGGTGGTACTGCCTGTAATCCCAGCTACTCAGAAGGCTGAGGGAGGAGAATTGCTTGAACCCAGGAGGCGGATGCTGCAGTGAGCCAAGATCACACCACTGCACTCCAGCCTGTCTGACAGAACAAGACTCCATCTCAAAAAAAGAAAAAAAAAAAATCTGTTATCCTCACCCCTACCTCTGTCCCACATAGAGTCAATCTACCTAATTGCAGCTTCCTGAAGGCAAAGGGAAATTTCTGCCCACAATGCCCATCCTCCCAATGCTAATTTACATCTATCAGTTTATTAGACTTGGCAGGCAGGGCCTGGCAAAGGAAAGTATTGGCCTTTCCATTATATTTTGGGTGCTCTTTTAAAATAATTAAAACCCGGGTGCACTTTGGTACCAACAGAGCCCATGTGTAAAGGTCAATGCTGAATTCCCAGTAATGAAGGCTTTGAAGCATCCTGTCAGGCTTCCATTCGTGTCTACCGCACGGTGATTCTGTGCTAGTCATTGTCCTAAGCACTGGGCTGCAACAGTCAGAAGACCCTGTTCCAGAATTTGCAGCCACCAGAGGAGCAGAGCACTAGAGGTCAGCTTTCTTTGCCTTTAGCTGTGAAAACTGTTTCCTAAACCCACCTCCTAGGAGCCCCCATGGCACCTTGTTAGCCCCAGCTGGTGGCTTCAAACCTGCCAGCCTCAGCATCCTCCTCAGAGTACTTGAAATTCTGGTAATTCTTTCAGAAGATTCTCTCAGGTTTCTCCAACCATGCTCTCTATTCATTTAACTTGAAGTAATTTAGAATTTCAGAGTTTGACTTTATTTTGCAGTGTTTATTTCAAAACAAATTGTGTTCCTTATTTAAAAATTCAAATACTGTGTGAATATATGCTATTAAAAGTTTCATCATGGTTGGATGCGGTGGCTCATGCCAGTAATCCCAGCACTTTGGGAGACTGAGGTGGGTGGATCACAAGGTCAAGAGATCAAGACTAGCCTGGCTGATATGGCGAAACCCCATCTCTACTAAAAATACAAAAATTAGCCAGACATGGTGGTGGGCACCTGTAATCCCAGCTACTCAGGAGGCCAAGGCAGGAGAATTGCTTGAACCCGGGAGCCAGAGGTTGCGGTGAGGCGAGATCATGCCACTGCACTCCAGCCTGGGCAATAGGGTGAGACTCTGTCTCAAAAAACAAGAAAATAAAACTGGCACAGGCTGGAAGAGACTAAAGACAAAGATTAACCACATGCAATGTGGGACCCTGGGAGGGACCATGGAACACAAAAGGGACATTGGGGAGAGCAGCAATGGAACTGAAATGAGTTCTGTAGTGGTAATAATAACAGTGTTCCAGTGTTACATTTTCTGTTCTTGATCATTCCACCGTACGAGCTTGCAGACTGTTAGCAACAGAGTAAGGAAGGTGAGGAGACAGGAGAACTCTGTACTGTTTTTGCAACTCTTCTTACGTATAAAATTCACACTAAATGAATCGTTTTTAAAAATTAAATATTGGGGCTGGGTACAGTGGCTCATGCCTATAATCCCAGCACTTGGGGAGGCCAAGGTGGAAGGATCACTAAACCCCAGGAGTTGGAGACCCGCTTGGGCAATATAGTAAGCAGTCCTCCCTCCTAAACCTTCCGAAGTGCTGGGATTACAGGTGTGAGCCACTGTACCCAGCAGGCCCTTTTATAAGGGGACCAATCCCCTCTAGAAGAGCTCTGATCTCCTGACTTAATTACCTCCAAAGGCCTCACCTCCTAGTACTGTCACTCTGGCCATTAAGTTTCCACACCTGAATTTTGGAGGAAATATTTAGACCATACAAGGGGTTTAGACATATGGACTAGAGCAGGGGTCCCCAACCCTCGGGCTGCGGACCCGTACTGGGCTATGGCCTGTTAGGAACCAGGCGGCAGGGCAGGGAGGGAGTGGCAGCCTGAGCTCTGCCTCCTGCCAGACCTGCATAGGTGTTAGATTCTCATAGGAATGGGAACCCTACTCTGAAATGCGCACGGGAGGGACCTAGGTTGCACGCTTCTTATGAGAATCTAATGCCCGATGACCTGAGGTGGAAGAATTTCATTCCAAAACCATTTCCCCAACACCCCACCCATGGAAAAATGGTCTTCCACAAAACCAGTCCCTGGTGCCAAAAAAGTTGGGACCCACTGACCAGAGCTCTGAGTTTGAAGACACGTATTGGGAGGAAGTTACGCTGGATCTC